AGGGGTTAAAAAAGTTCTTTATACTGCCATGCAAAGTGACCACCAAGAATTCAAAATTAGTAAGAAAACCAACAAATTTTGTGGATACCAACTGCCATAAATTCATAATCCAGTAACAAATATGTGAAAGACATTCTAAGAGGGTGAATGAGGACAAAGGAAACATTCCTATTGTATTCAAGATCAGGATTTCAGGAAGCAGATCTTTGCCATGGAACGTAACCTAGAAAATAAACAATCTATTCCCTGTGGCTTTAATAAATTCTTGAAACAGAGTCCAAAAGTGACACTGATCAAAAAATATTCAAATATCAAATATAAGTTAGCTGTGGACCATTTATTATAGTATGTGGTACTCTAAAACCAATTCAAAGAATGGAAAGAATAATCAAAAGATCTCTGATATACACACAAGTACTTAGACAACTATAAAAATCTCTCAAATGATCCCTAAGAAACTGTCATTAACAATGACTGCATCAGGAACAAAACCCAGGTGACTGGAGGACAGGAATGGAAAGGAAACCTTTTACTATATTCCCCTTAATGTTTTAAAACTTTTGTACCAAGTATGCATATTATTTATTCAATAAATGAATTAATTTGTGAATTGTTTGTGAATGGCAAATTATATCCCATGATATTTTTGCCATCATGGGTGGTACAGTGGACATGGACCTTAGAATCAAACAGACCTAGATTTTTTTTGAGACAGTCTCACTACGTTCCCCGGAGTAGAATGCTATGCATCACAGCTCACAGCAACCTCAAACTCTTGGGCTTATGTAATTTTCTTGTCTCAGCCTCCCAAGTAGCTGGGACTACAGGCACCCACCACATCACGCGGATTTTTTTTTTGCTGCAGTTGTCATTGTTGTTTAGCAAGCCCAGGCCAGGTTGGAACCCAATAGTGTATGTGGCCGGCGCCCCTCCCAACTGAGCACGGGCACCGGCCATACCCAGGGGTTTAATCTCAGGTCACTGATTTCCTAGAAGTGATGCAGAAAAAGATAACTCATTGGGAGACCTGAAAAAAAACCTCTGAGCTGCTCTTCACAATACCATGTGAAGAGTCCTTCAAGAATTCATAACAAGGAAGCCAAAACATTCTACAGCTTTAAATCACAGGTGACTTGAAATGAGACAAAGTTTTAACCTACGGGGCATTGAACAACCCCCTCACACCCATAATATCTATTTAAGGTATGATATCACAGTATGGCAAAAATAATTGGGAAAGTTATAGAGCTGGACACCCTTTCATTAGGTAGCCCTATGAGAGATGAAGCTGAAGGCTAGCAGAAGAAAGAACTAAATAGCCCACTTTTATGGTCTTGAATTTAAGGGACTAGCATACATATCATATTATGGCTTTGAGAAGTGGTTAAATTTGCAATTAAATTTAAGTTGGCACTGTTCCAGAGGATCCTGGGCATCAGGAGTGAACTCAACAACCTCTCAGTCTTCCAGGACTATCTTTGGCATCTGTCTTCCAATATTCAGTGCAAAGCACTGCTTATGAGGACTATCAGAAGTCCTAGTAGGCTATGCTAATATCTGCTAGGCCTATCACGGAATAGAAACACAGTACTGTAAAAGGATATGGAGGATAGGATTCTCCAGCTTCTGCCTCTTCAAAATTCACAGTGAGAAATTCTGGATCTCTTTCATTAAAACACTATTAGAGGCTAGGCTCAGGCCTATAATCCTAGGAATCTGGAAGGCCAACGTGGCTATATTGCTTGAGCTCACAAGTTCAAGACCAGCCCAAGCAAGAGTAAGACCCCTGTCTCTAAAAAATAGCCCAGCATTGTGGCAGGCACCTGTAGTCCCAGCTACTTAGGAGGCTAAAGCAAGAGGATCACTTGAGCCCAGTAGTTTGAGGTTGCTGTGAGCTATGATGTCATAGTACTCTACCCAGTGAGACTAAGTGAGACTCTGTCTCAAAAAACAAAACAAACAAAAAAGACACCATTAGAAACAAGGATTCAGGCTCAGCACTGTAGTACAGGTTCGAACCCAGCCTGGGACAGCTAGACAACAATGACAACTACAACAAAAAATTAGCTGGGTATTGTGGTGGGTGCCTGTGGTCCCAGCTACTTGGGAGGCTGAGGCAGGAAAATCACTTAAGCCCAAGAGTTTGAGGTTGTTGTGAGCAGTGATGCCATGGCACTCTACCAAGGGCGACACAGTGAGACTGTCTCAGAAAAAAAAGAAAGAAACATGGATTCACTTACTATGTGTCTTAAAAAGATGCTTGTACTAGTTGAAACGGTGAAACCACCAAGTTCTCTAAGAGATGTATCTTGATAGGCCAGGGTAATCAGCATGATGGCTGTGGTCATCTGGAATATAAGTACTACAGACAGAAATTTCTGAAGAACTTGCCATAGTATCTGGTGCTAGTCAGGTTTCCTTTTTATCTGGAGCTGTACAAATTGGTTAGGTCTGATGATCAGGAAGCATCAAGTCCTCTTTAAGTTGGTACCCTCTGGCATAAAATGCTGGAATGATAATCCTATACTCTATCTGATCAAGCTGTGACACAGTAATTGCTAACTGGGCTCACTCTATTTTTTTTCTTTTGAGACAGAGTCTTATTTTGTTACCCTTGGTAGAGCGTCATGGCCTCACAGCTCACAGCAACCTCAGTTCTGTGAAAAGATTATAGCATCATCTGTAGGAACCTCATCTTCTAGGTGAGGAATATCTGCTTATATATACAGAATGACCCATTTCTCTGCCTCCCCAAACAAGTAGAATATTAGAAATAAAACTGGTCATAGAGTGGCAGTGAACAGTTTTAGATAGAGAATAAGAATAGAAGGCTGTAAAAGGAGTATTTGAATGTGATACAGACTAGAGAGATAAGGCATGTCAGGCCTGATGGCTAAACAGTAGCAAAAAGCAGTATAACCCTTCTGCTCCCTTTCTAATAATAAATTTCAATGTAATCGAAATCAAGACCAAGAAATATGTTAAGAGTTGAAAAGGAAGAGGGGAAAGCATTTTATATAAACATGTCTCTTTGGGGTATGTTGCTAAAAGAAATCCTTCAGAAGTTAGTTGTGGTCATATAAAATGTCACAACCTGGCAACCAATTAGTGTATTATGATAGTACTTCTGAATGTTTGGTCATTGTTATTCATGATGTGACTCATAATCAACCACTTTGAACTAATAAATTCCCTTCAAGAAAAATTTTAAGAGAGCAGGGAGAAGGGAGGTCACAGTGTATGGCACACCTCTTGGGGGCAGGACACAATTATAAGAGGGACTTTATTTAACAAAGGCAATCAGTGTAACCTAATTCTTTGTGCCCTCAGTGAATCCCGAACAATAAAAAAAGAGAAAAATTTTAAATATGTTGAGTTATGCCCTATTTTACTAATCTAAAGAATGATTCATATATGGGACATTTGAATAATGATATACATATATATTAGTTACAAGCAATATTATAACAAAACCAGTGAAACAAACACTTAACTGATAGATGATGAGTGGCCTGTTATCTCAAACAAAAATTCAAGCTATCTTTGAGGTCATATTAAAGATACAAGTAACAAAACCCCCCAAAAATTTTTGTTTCAAGCACAGTAATTGGTTAAAGGAGATCTTAAGAATGTCATCAATAAAAGGAACACTGTAATTTTAAGAGCTACTTAGAACTTTCAATCAAAGATCACTGGTATTACTGAACTGTGTCAGTTTCAATAAACAACTATTATTCAGCTAAGTCCCAAATTCAAACTAAATGAGTGATTCTACAAAAATATGCCTCTAAGTTGTCAAGCCTGAGATAATTATTTTAAATATTTATTTTTTAAAATTATCATAAAAGAAATGCAAGTTTGGGTGAAGGAACTTAGAAAGTACAATTAAGTATAGAAGAAAAAACAAAAAGGCGTACAATAATCCTAGCTCTCTAGGGGACCCAGGTGGGTGGATTGCTTGAGCTCAGGAGTTTAAGACCAGCGTGAGCGAGAGCAAGACTCACATCTCTACTAAAAATAGAAAAATTCGCCAAGCATCTTCACACACACCTGTAGTCCCAGCTACCCTGGAGGCTGAGGCAGAAGAATTGCTTGAGCCCAGAAGTGTGAGGTTGCAGTGAACTACAATGATGCCACTACATTCTACCTAGGGCAAAAGAACAAGACTCTGTCTCCAAAAAAAAAAAAAAAAGAAAAGAAAGAAAGAAAAAGTGAACTAGAACAGACTCTATCTTCTGTTGTCTCAAGCTGTTTTTAGAGAAACTAAGAACACTCAGTTTAAATAAAGAAAAAATGTTGACCTCTGCCATTGGCCTTACTTTTATGAAAAAAGTGGCCTATAAAAAGTACAGAATGAAAGGCAACCAATGAATTTACAAAGGTGAACAATATACCAACAAGGCATGGCTCATTTCAAGAAGGAATCTGTGATCTCAACAAATTAATATCAGAAGAAATAATTTCTCTCACTTAATCATTTATCAAATTTTATTGAGGCTTACTATGTATCAGTTGTTGAGCCAGACACCAGAAATACAAAATGAAAGAATGTCTATGTCTTTTAAAACTTTGTGTTTTTGCAAGGAAATATGCATACATGATATGATGAATATACACAGGGGGTATGATGAAAGCTCAGAGGAGAGACACCAAAGCTAGATTAGAGGGAAGGAGGAAACAGAAGGAACAAAGGTGTTGATATTTAAATAGAGCCTTAAAGAATAATAACAGGTAAACAGGGATAGAAGGGTTAAAGCTAGCCAATGGAGAAAAAAATTAGCATCATGGTCGTGCCTACAGTCACACAAAACTAAAGGACTTTTTCTTAAAGCTAATAGGCAAATAGTCTTTGGAGGTATATGCCTGAATAGGTGTGATTCTAGAGTATCTTCTGTTTATACACACTACATCCTACCCTCCCCAACTCAAAATGTGCCAAGTTTAGAGAAGGCACAGAAACCTGCAAATACCAGAGGTTCAGAGATAAGTTTCTCACTTACAACACTGGGCGGCAGCAGTGGACAATGGCTTCCTCTGGCTTTCTTCTTGAATAGAATACTAGAAGCAGAAAGAAGAAAAAAAAAACACATATAATAAGAGGACCAAGTAAAGAGAAGGAAAAAAATCACAGCTTCCTTGACAAAGATTTCAGTGTTTGGAGTCAAAATCTTTATTGAACAGAAACAGAAGATCCTGCTATTTTCCTTGCTATTTTGTGTGATCCTGATAGAATATCCTGCTATTTTGTGTGATCCTGACATACAAACCAAACTATCACTTATGGCAGTGGCCTGCCCAAATAGGCTAAATCAGGACAGCAAAGAGCCTATTATGACCAATGGCACGTTGGCACTTGCCCATCTTGGCCTTAGAAATCTTAGACTATTTCATAGTCCTCTAAATTTTCCTATGGCTAATGTGGGCAATGGAGCTGAAAACCTCTGAGGCCAAATTTTATTAAGTAACAGTGCTTCTTCCCTTACAAGGTCCCATGAGAAGTGAAATTGCTTATCTGAGCCATGTGGTGCAATATCAACTAGAGTTCCCCTCACCCTTACAATCTAGTGTCACTGCAACCCTGCCTGCCCACTAGCTACCACAACACAAAAACAAATACAGGGTATTAAAACTGTAAAAATGTTCTATAAAAGGGAGCAGAATTAAGCACAAATCTTGAGGATGGGCAGGATTTAGAAATGTACAACAAAAAGAGGAAGGCATAAACAAATTAACAGACGTACATAAAGTCTGGAAGATAACAAAAATAATTTGTTCCAGAGACCACTACAGGATTGGAAAAATATAACTTGGCCCAGCAACTTGCAAATACAAGATTTGAAGTTCTCATTCTAACTCTGCCATTTATTCATAAGCTGTGAGATTCTGGGCCTGTCAGAGCCTCTCTAAAACTGCCAATGAATGAGTCATTCATTCAACAGCTACTGATTGAGTGTACACCATACGCAAGGCTTTATTCTAGCCACTGGGTAAACAGAGTTTATAAATCATGGTAATGGAGGGGGAGAGGCAAGATAGCCACAGGTGCCAGCCTCTGACAGAAGCTCCCGTCCAGGAGGAAGGATGATGTCCAGAAAATACCCAATAAAGTTGAAGATTGGGAGCCCAGCTGAGAAAGAAGGGTGATATCTGCAGGACACCTCTGCGGAGGCAAGTTGAGACTCCAAGAGAGCGATTTACAGGTACATAATACATCCCAAAGGAAAAGTGTCCATCCCCTGTCCCAAGAAACTTGTGGTTTTCTCTTTTCTCTTCATCTGCTCCTATAAGTTTTCTGCAGGCGAGAGGTGAACTGAGGACCTATTATCTCACCCCATGTGTGAGAACCACAGGAAGGGGGGGCCTACTCCCCTAGAGGGACCCTGCTGAGATTCTAAACACTCTCTCACCTGGCAGAAAAACTGAACAAACGTTTTCACTGCCATTTTGAATTTCCAGTCCACCCTTCCCCCCTTGCCTACAGAGACAGTGATGGGGAGCACAAAGCAGCGTCCCCTACCCCTGTGAGACTAAGTGCCCAGTCCCAGTACAGCAGCCAGAGACCTGCTAGACTGGTGTACATTCCGTGGGTGACGGTGGAGGAGTCCCCCATACCAGGCACCCACACGGGAGGCCCCAGAACTGCTTGCTAGAGCTGCACATGCCCCACGGGTGGCAGCAGAGGAGTCCCCTGCTCTAGGTAGGCCCAGATCTGCTTGTTAGTGCCGTGCCCATCCCGCAGGCAGCGGAGGAGGAATCTTCCACTTAGGGTGGGACCAGAACTGCTTGCTAGAGCCACACGTACCCTGGGGAGGCCTGTGAAAGAGTCCCCCACTCTGGAAGAGCTCAGAACTGCCTGCTAGAGCTGCACGCACACTGCAGGCAGCAGCAGAGGAGTCCCCAACTCTGGGCGGGCCCAGAACTGCTGGCTAGAGCTGCACACAACCCAGGGGCAGCGGCGGAGGAGTCCCCCACTTCAGACAGGCCCAGAACTGTTTGCTAGAGCCACGGGCATCCCACAGGCAGCAGTGGAGGAGTCCCCAGCTCCAGATGGGCCCAGATCTGCTTGCTAGAGCCATGCGTGTCCCACGAGTGGCAGCTGAGTTCCCCGATCCAGCCTCCCACACCGGTCAGGCCCAGATCTGCTTGCTAGAGCTACGCATGTCCCACTGGCAACAGCAGAGGAGTCCTTCGCTTCTGGCGGCCCAGAACTGCTTGTTAGAGCTGCTCAGCAACTGATGAGTTCCGCGCTCCAGGCACGTGCACCAGGCGGGCCCAGAACTGCCAGAGCTATACTCCCGGCATCCCCAGCCAGCTGCCGGAGAACTACAAGAGGACAGTCAGCTGAGGGGGAACCATACTAGAACAGCAGTACCCTGAGCCGAAGAGCAGCAGCCACAGAAGTGGGAATAAGGCCCACACCCCTGAGGCTCTTCCGGACAGACATGCTCTGCATCTCGGGGCAACCAGAGGAAGCTGGCATCATCTCCGGTGGAGGCCAAGGACTGAACAGTTCTGGTACAGTCTCCACACAGTGTAAATTCAGCATGGGGTGGAATCAGCGGAAAAACCCTGGTAATCCGAATAATCAAAGTAGATCAAATCCCCCAAGGAAGGATGGGGCAGATGCAATTGAAGATCCCATCCATAAACAGATGGCTGAGATGTCAGAAATAGAGTTCAGAATTTGGATAGCAAATAAGATTAACAGAATGGAAGAAAGGAGGGAATTAGAATTTCTTATTCAAAAGATGTCTCAAGAATTCAATTATTTCAAAGATAAAATGACCAAAAATTTTGAGACAGTGAGGCAAGAGGTTGCAGCCCTCAAAGAGCTGAAAAATATGGTAGAATCCCTAACAGAATGGAGGAGGCAGAAGAAAGGATCTCTGACATTGAAGACAAAGCTTCTGAACATGCCCAAGCGCACAAGGATGAAGAGAAATGGAGAGCAAAACTGGATCACTCTCTCAGAGAGCTCTGGGATAATTCGAAGAAAACTAATATTCGTCTTATAGGAATCCCTAAGGGCGAGGAAGTGGCTTCACAGAGCACAGAGGCTCTACTTCGTGAAATTATGAAAAAGAACTTTCCAGACATGCCAAGAGAGTCTGAAATTCAGATAGCAGACAGTTTCACAACCCCAGCATGACTCAACCAGAACAAGACATCCCCCAGGCACATCATAATTAACTTCACTAAAGTTAATATGAAAGAGAAAATTCTGAAAGCAGCTAGACGTAACAAAACCATAACCTACAAGGGGAAGAATATCAGAATGACTGCAGATCTCTCTGCTGAAACCTTTCAGGTTAGAAGAGGGTGGTCATCAATTTTTAACCTCCTGAAACAAAATAACTTTCAACCCAGGATCCTATATCCAGCTAAACTGAGTTTCATGTATGATGGAGAAATTAAATAGTTTAATGACATTCACACATTGAAGAAATTTGCCATAACTAAACCAGCTTTCCAGGATTTTCTCAGACCTATCCTCCATAATGACCAGCACAATCCTCTACCACCAAAGTAAACTCACTCAGAAACATTTGATCAAATTCCAACTTCCACAGTGGTGAAAGGATTACACATGTCCACTGGACTTTTGAAAAACTCAATACCCAAAATACTACCAAGGCTTATCAAAAGTCTCAAATGTTTACATGGATGGAGCTGGAACATATTCTTCTAAGCAAAGTATCTCAAGAATGGAAAAAAAAGTATCCAACGTACTTAGCCCTACTATGAAACTAATCTATAAGCACCCACACTTCCATATGAAAGCTATAACCCAACTATAGCCCAAGATGAAGGGGAAAGAGGGGAGGCAGGGCAGGGGAGGAGGGAGGATGAGTGGAGGAAGGGTAATTGGTGGGACCACATCTAAGGTGCATTTTACAAGGGTACATGTTATATCTACTAAGGGTAGAATATAAATATCTTAACAGAATAACTAAGAAAATGTGGTGAAGGCTATGTTAACCAGTTTGATGAAACTATTTCAAATTGTATATAAAACCAACACATTGTACCCCATAATTGCATTAATGTACACAGCTATGATTTAATAAAAAAAATAAATAGAAGGAAAAAAGACACAGAAACCAACTTGAAAAAGGTCCTACTCAACAAAAATGAGATCATTTAGTATCAAAAAAAAAAAAAATGACTGCAACAGATTGAAATACATACATCAAATAATTAAAATTCACAAATTCATAATTATTCTCCATTAACAAAAAGTAGTTGGGACTATAGGAGTACACTAGTACACTGCTAATTTTTCCATTTTTTGTGTAGATGGGGTCTCACTATGTTGCCCAGGCTAGTCTTGAACTCCTGGCCTCAAGCAAACTCCTGGTTCTCCCACCTCAGTTTCCCAAAGTGCTGAGATTAGAGGCATGAGCCACCTGGCCCAGCCCATAAAGTTCATTTCTGTAGACAAATCATTGCTAATGAATGCTGAAAGGATGATATTAGTAGAACACCATCGTTTTACAAACCCCAATAAAAATAATCATTATTTGTTGCTAAAGCCATTAGGTGAAAGGCTGATGGGAAATCGTCATAATGAATGAAATAGGCTAACAACAACTGACCTGACTGATGAATTTTAACATCAAAAAAAGTGGGATAAAACACTAATTGCTACCAAAAAAATGAACTTCAATCTAAATTTAAATCTGTTCCTCAAGCTAATAGATGTAATTATCAGTTTTTTGTTTTTTTTTTGAGACAGTCTCAATTTGTCACCGTTGGTAGAGTGCCATGGCATCATAGCTCACAGCAACCTCCAACTCTTGGGCTCAAGTGATTCTCTTGCCTCAGCCTCCCTAATAGCTGAGACTACAGGCACCCGCGACAACTGGTTATTTTTGTTGTTGCTGCTGCTTAGTACACCCTGGCCCAACTCAAACCCACCAGCCCTGGAGCATGTGACCAGTGCCCTAACCACTGAGTATGGGTGTCCATAATTATCAGGTTAAAGGATGCAAAAGGGATACAGGAACATGGTAAATAAAATCTGGGAACATAATTAGCCAAATCCAGAATGTATAGAATTTTACAAAACAAATGAGAGAAGGGGAATAGTTATACAATTAAAATTATTTAAGAGACATAATAACCAAATGTACACATCTTCCCTAAATCTTAAAATGAATAAATCAGCCAGGCACAGAGGCGCACACCTGTAATCTAAACACTTTGGGAGGCAAAGTCAGGAGGATTGCTTGAGGTCAGGAGTTCTAGACCAGCCTGAGCAAGAACGAGTCCCCATCTTTACAAAATAATAGAAAAATTAGCCAGGTGTTGTGGTGCACCATCTCTACAAAATAATAGAAAAATACACCAGGTGTGGTGGTGCATGCCAGTAGTTCCAGCTACTTGGGAGGCTAACACAGGAGGAGCATTAGAACCCAGGAATTTGAGTTTGCAGTTAGCTATGATGACATCACTACACTCTAGCTAAGTTGACAGAATGAGACTATATCTCTAAATAAAAGGAAAAAAAAAAGAAAAAGAAAATGAACAAATAAATCAACTGTGGAAAAAAAAATCTTTGAGATGATAAATTTGAATTCAGAATAGGTATTAGACGACATTAAGAAAGTATTGTTAAATTCAATGTGATAATGGCATTGTGGTTGTTTTTAAAGGCATTATCTGTTAGAGATATATGCTAACATATTTATGGCTGAGACTTTAAAATACTCCAACAAAAAGAAGGAAGAACAATCTTTTTTTTATGTTTGGAAATTTCTATAATAGAAGTTTTCAAATAATGTGACAACCACATGAGATACCATTTAACACGTACTAAAATGGATATAATCAAAAAGATAATAACAGGTGCTGATAAGGATGTGAAGAGATTGGAACCTTTCTATGCCACTGGTGGAAATATAAAATGTCACAGCCACTTTGAAAAATAGTCTGGCTGTCTCTCAAACAGACACAGAGTTACTGGCTGATCCAGCAATTCCACTCCCAGATACATATCCAAGAGAATAGAAAACATGTCCACACAAAATTTTTTATATAAATGTTCACAGCAGCTTTATCCACAATAGCAAAAAAGCATGAACAGCCCAATTATCCATCAACTGATGAATTAGGAAAAAATATATTATGTCCATACAATGGAATGTTATTTGGCAATAAATACGGAATAAAGTACTCGTACATGCTACCACATGGATGAAACCTTGAAAACATTACGCTACCTGAAAGAAGACAGTTACAAGGAGTATGGATTATATAATTCTGTTTGTAGGAAATGTTCATAATAGGTCAATATAGAGAGACAGAAGGTTGATGAGGGCTTGCCTAGGCTGAGCTGAAGAAGATGTGAAGGGTGGGGGATTAGAAAGTGATGTTAACCACATTAAATGTTAAAAAGTTATTTATGATGATAGATACACAACTCAGAATACACTAAAAGCCATATATATGTTGAGTGAATGAACATATGGTATATACAAATTTTATTTCAATAAAGCTGTTAAGAATATACAAATTTTATTTCAATAAAGCTGTGAAAGAGGGGATGAAAGACAGAAACACAGGGATTTCCATATCCTAGAATGTAAACAGAAAGCAAAAATCTCATAGAGAGTAGGGAATTCAGACCCACAGAAAAACCGTTATTCTCCTAAAAGAGTAGTTGTCAACCTATCCCAAATTCCATTTCTTTATCTTTCACTAACTCACTATGAGTTAAAATGTGTCTCCCTGCAAAAAAGATAAAGTTGAAGTTCTAACCCTAAGTACCTGTGAATGTGACCTTATTTTGGAAATAGAGTCTGTGCAGATATAATCAAATTAATCTAATGACTAGTGTTCTTATAATAAAAATAGAAATTTGGACATAGACATGCAGAAACAGAAGAACACATTGTGAAGACACACAGAGAGACTGATAAGGAAGTTATGTGACAACAGAGGCAGAGATTAGAATGATCCATCTACAAGCCAAGAAACAGCAAGGACTACCAGCAACCATCAGAGCTAGGACAAAGGTATGGAATGGTTTCTTCTTTGGAGCCTCTAGACAAAACTGAACTGATTCTGAAGAGACCTTGATTACAGACTTCTAGTCTCCAAAATTGTAAGAAAATAAATTTCAGTTGTTCTAAGTCACCTAGTTTGTGGTACTGTGTTATGGTAACCCTAGAAAACTAATACACTCATAAAATTACTACATTTGGGCTTTCTGTACTAGTTTTTGAATGGACACTAGTCATTAATTGCCAAATATAATGACTATTTCAGAATTCATCTTGTTTGAATATGTGATACTATCGAGAATTTCTGCCTTGAATCTCTTTTTTTCTTTGTTCCATTTATCTTTCCTGGTTCTCCCTTTTCAGGTAGCTCTTTCTCTGTCTCATTTGTTTACCAGAATTCCACCTGTGATGTTTCTCAATGTTTTGTCCTTCTTCTTCAATACTTTCTATATGCTATACTTGAGCAAACTTTCCATTCCTATGACTTCAGTTGCTACCGATATGTTGATAAATCCAAACTCTAAGCTTATAGCTTTCTACCCAATCCAACTAGCTTCAGACTCTCATGAAATTGTTTACCAAACATTTCCATTGAAATATCTCCTAGCACTCAAATTCTACCTTATAATCAGACCCATTTTTAAATAGTCCAACATGTCCATAAGTAAACTTATCTCTTCCCTCCACCACCAGTAACAAAAATATTCCCCATTCCTGATACCCAAGGTCGAGTTGATTGTGTTCTCTTATATGCACAAGCTATGGAGCAAGATAAAAAAGAACACATAAATTAAGATGATAACCAAAAATCTTGGAGGAACAGAAGAAATGCCTTCTGCTATGGTGTGTAACAAAAGAGGACAGATTCCCTACTAGCCTAGAGCCAAACTAGTGCCACAGTCTGGGGGACGGTAGGAAAAAAGCCTATGTGGGAGATGGAGACTTCTAATGAAATTTCAGGCCATCTTCTAGCTGCCCTTTTCTTTAATGCAATTTAAATTATTTCTTTCTTCAGATAACATGCTCTTGGGCCCCTCCCTGTACAACCTATAAAGAATATCAGAGGTTGTTCCCATCTCTCTATATTGCAAATAAGGAAGTTCCTACCTCATTGTCAGAGCCTAAGGCATTGATTTGCTCTAATTTGTAGGTCCAATATCTGGCTTCCTCCTCTGGGATATCTACCATAAAAAAAAAGAAAAAAACATCAGCAAGTAATGTTCAAACATCAGCACATAAAATTTCATTCAGTCAAATGACTTAAGTCAGAAGGTTGGTGGTAATAAACAAATTTTACTGGTGGCTTGGTTCTTGCCATGAACATTATTTAAATCATCACAAAAACAAACATAATGCACCATTATTCCCATTGTTCTACTTTGCAAATGAAGAAGCTGAAGTTCAGAGAGGTTAAATAATCTGGTCAAAGTTACTCAGTTCACAAAGAGATAAGCCATTTCGAACCACAGTCAGTATGATTCTGAAAATATACTACCTTCCTCTGAGCAAAACCAAAACAGTCCAAAGGATTAGTTTAAGAGAAAAGTTAGACCTGAGACATTAAAATACTCAAAGTTCATAGATTCCCCCCCCCAAATTAAAAATAAATTAATTATCATGTGACTCAGCTATCCCACTTTCAATTCACAAAAGAATTAAAGCAGGATCTCAAAGATATTTGCACACCCAAGTTCATAGCAGCATTATTCACAATAGCTAAGAGCTGAAGAAACCCAAGTGTCCATCAACAGATGAAAGGATAAACAAGGCTGGCACCCATAGTACAGTGGTTACGGTGCCGGCCACATACACCTAGGCTGGCCAGGTTTGAACCCAGCCTGTTAAGCAACAATGACAACTGCAACAGAAAAATAGCCAGGCGTTGTAGTCCCAGTTACTTGGGAGGCTGAGGCAAGAGAATTGCTTAAGCCTAAGAGTATGAGGTTGGTGTGAGCTGTGATGCCACAGCTCTCTACTGAGGGTAACATAGTGAGACTCTGTCTCAAAAAATAAACAAATAAATAAAAAATAAACAAAAGGAGATATATACATAGAATGGCAAATTATTCAGCCTTAAAAAGGAAGAAAATCCTGTCATGTGCTATAATGTGAATGAACTTCAAGAACATTATGCTAAGTGATGTGCATTTAAAAATGGTTAAGATGAATATAGTACATAAAAACAAAATTTTTTTTTCAGTTTTTTTGTTTGTTTGTTTTGTTTTTTGGCCATGGTTGGGTTTGAATCCACCACCTCCAGCATATCGGGCCAGCGCCCTACTCCTTTGAGCCACAGGCGTCACCCCATAAAAACAAATTTTTTAACTAAAGGCTCAGCGCCTGTGGCTCAAGTAGCTAAGGCGCCAGTCACATACACCTAAGGTGGCGGGTTTGAATCCAGCCCAGGCCCGCCAAACAACAATGACAGCTGAAACCTAAAAAAAATAGCCAGATGTTATGGCGGGCACCTGTGGTCCCAGCTACTTGGGAGGCTGAGGCAGGAGACTCGTTTGAGCCCAGGAGTTGGAGGTTGCGGTGAGCTGTGATGCCATAGCACTCTACCAGGGGGACAGCTTGAGGCTCTGTCTCAAAAAAAATTTTTTAACTAAAAAAACCTCATAGATTTTATGCCTGGAAAAATATTAGATACCCAAATATTTATTCAGTTAGTCCATAAATGAAAACATTAGACTTTAAAAAATAATAGTATAACCTCATTTCTAAATATTTAAAATTGACTATAACAACTTCCCCCTAAAACTTACCTTTTAAAACATTAAATATACCAAATATATCTAGCACAAAAGAGAAACATAAGGCAATCTATGAACCAGATCAACTTTGGAAACATTTAAACAGATATACTTTGTAGTAGCCCACATAAAAGGAGCAAATATCACCCTTTCTCCTTTGTTCCTCCTGTCTAAAACTTCAACTCCTTCCCTTGAAACAGCTCTTCAGCAACTGGTGGTAATACTTTGAACATATTTTTTAAAAAGCTTCAAATAATCTATAACCTAATTTGTATAGCACTTCTTCATCCATAAAATGGTGTACTATGCACCTGTTCCAAAGAAGGGATGGGGGAGAGGGGAGGAAGAAGAGTTGCTGCTGTGGGTCTATTCAGGGGTCCTCAAACTATTTTTTTTTTTTTTGAGACAGAGCCTCAAGCTGTTACCCTGGGTAGAGTGCCGTGGCATCACAGTTCACAGCAACCTCCAACTCCTGGGCTCAAGCGAGTCTCCTGCCTCAGCCTCCCAAGTAGCTGGGACCACAGGCGTCCGCCACAACACCCGGCTATTTTTTTGGTTGCAGCTGTCATTGTTGTTGGCGGGCCCAGGCTGGATTCAAACCCGCCACCTTGGATATATGTGGCTAGCGCCTTAGCCACTTAAGCCACAGGCGCTGAGCCCCTCAAACTTTTTAAACAGGGAGCCAGTTCACTGTTCCTCAGACCATTGAAGGTCCGGATGCGGGACCTGCTCAGCAGGACAGGCAGCAGTGGCAAAAACACCCGGCAGGCCGCTAAATGTCCTTGGTGGGCGGCATGTGGCCTACGAGCCTTAGTTTGAGGACGCCTGGATACTCTCTGCTATGGGATGATTTTATCAAAATATATTAAGTGGATAACAACAAAAGTGGATAACAACAAGAGGCACGGAATGTGTTTAGAATATGCTACTATGTGTGTTTTCAAAAGAGGATGGCAGTGTCTACATATGCTTATAGTCAGGCTGACTCTGGAAAGATACACAAGACAGTATTAACAGTAGTAGATTTATGGAAGGGAACTGGTTTGTGAGGGAGACCTAATTTCCACTGGGTAACTTATTAACAATTGTACACTTACTACTGCCTTATCCCACAAAGTAGTTAATAAAAAAAAATAAAGAGCAACAATGTAGTGCTATTTATAACAGTACAAAGTTTGAACCACAATACAACTAATGTATTATGGTTAAAATTAAAAGCCCCGGCTTTAGAGCCAGATCATCCAAATTTAAATCCTGGCTTTACCATTTACTAGATATGTGACCTTGAACAAAATACTTCCGTGCCTAAGTTTCCTTATCTCTAAAGTGGAAATAAAAGTTGCTGGGTCTACTTCAAAAGTAAATCTAAAATGAGGATTAAATGATGATAACGTGTACTCGTGAGACACTTAGTGACATGCCCAGGGGCACATAGTAATTCACCAAAAATATTATTTTATTCCCAGTATGCATTCATATAGTAAATAAAATCAGCCACTGAAAAATTATAGAATATTTATTTTCTGTAACATTTATGTTATAGCCATGCAATTAGAGAATAAAATTGATTAAAAAGTAATACTACAAAAAAGCCCCCAAAAACCTACCATGTAAAGTCTCTGGAAATGGTCCTGAGGACATAAACTAAATGAAAAAACATTTATTTAAGAAATTCAGGCTGTGCATGGTGGCTCACACCTGTAATCCTCACACTCAAGGAGGCCAAGGTAGGAGGATTGCTTGAGCTCAGGAATTTGAGACCAGCCTAAGCTAGATCAAGACCCTATTTCTCGGCTCGGCACCTGTGGCTCAAGTGGCTAAGGTGCCAGCCACATACACCTAAGGTGGCGGGTTCGAATCCAGCCAGGACCGGCCAAACAACAGTAATGGCTGCAACCAAAAAATAGCCGGGTATTGTGGCGGGTGCCTGTGGTCCCAGCTACTTGGGAGGCTGAGGCAGGAGACTTGCTTGAGCCCAGGAGTTGGAGGTTGCTGTGAGCTATGATGCCATGGCACTCTACCCAGGAGGATAGCTTGAGGCTCTGTCTCAAAAAAAGGACCCTATTTCTCCTAAAAATAGAAATATCAGCATGGCACTGTGGTGGGTACCTGTAGTCCTAGCTACTTGAGACAGTGAGGCAGGAGTCTGAGGTTGCTATGAGCTAGGCTAACGCCACAGCACTCTACTACCCTGGGCAACCAAGTGAAACTCTGTCTCAAAAAAAAAAAGGCAGGCACAGTGGCTCACGCCTGTAGTCCCAGCACTGTGGGAGGCTAAGGAGAGACAATTGATTGAGCTCAGGTATCCGAGACTTGCCTGAGCAACAGTAAGATCCGACTCCTAAAAAAATGAAAAACCCAGCTGTGCACCACGAGTGCCTGTAATCCCAGCAGCTTCCAGAGGCTGATGCAGCGGGATGCCCACCACCAGAGTCTGAGGTTGCAGTGAGCTATGACGCCATTGCACTATGCCCTATAGGGTGGGACTCTGTCTGGAAAGAAAGAAGGAAAGAAGGGAGGGAGGGAGGGAGGGAGGAAGGGAAGGAGGAAGGAAGGGAGGGATATAGGGAGGGAGAAGGAAAGGGAAGCTGTTACCCATTAGGTGACAGCTTACCGAGCCCCCTCCCTTCCTCCCTCCCTCCCTTCTAATTGAATTTAATTGCCTTTTTCTCTTGTGTGGACCTAGTAGTTATTCATCTACTAGTTTCAAATTAGTATTGAGTACATGGAGTGTTTGGTTTTCCATTCTTGAGATATTTTATGAAGGAGAATGTTCTTTAACTCCATCCAGGTAAATACAAAAAATGTAAAGTCTCCATCTTTTTTAACGATGAATAGTATTCCATGGTGCATCTATACATACATATATATGTATGTGTGTGTGTGTGTGTGTGTGTGTGTGTGTATCATGTTTTATTAATTCATCCATGGGTTAATGGATACTTGGGTTGTTTCTACATCTTTGCAACTGTGAATTGAAATGTCCTTGTGATAAAATAATTTTTTTCTTATGGGTAGATACCTAGTAATGGGATTGTGGGATCAAATGGAAGGTCTGCTTTTAGCTCTTTAAGGATTCTCCATACTTCTTTCCAAAGAGGCTGTAGTAGTATGCAGTCTCACCAACAGTGTAAACGTGTTCCCTTCTCCCCACACCCACCCCAGCGTCTGCAGCTTTGGGACTTTATAATGTGGGCTATTCTCACTAGGGTTAGGTTATATATCAAGGTTGTTTAGATTCACATTTCTCTGATGAGTAGGAACGATGAGTATTTTTATCATGTATTTGTTGGCCATTTGAAAGTCTTCTTGGGAGAAGGTTCTATTCATGTCTCTTACTCAGTGATTAATTGGGTTGTTTGCTCTGTTGATTTACTGAATTTACTTTTTAAATTACTATTCCCTTTCTCAGTGCTACTTAATATTTGTTATTTAAATTAAATTATATTGTGAAAAAAATAAATCAGTTCAAAAAAATAAATTAATAATCATAAGATATACTCACTTCAAGACAATAAATGTTTAAATATTTGGAAAATAAATCTAGCAGTTATTTCATAAGTCATCATAATAGTCACAGAAAATGGATTTGAAGAAAATGATTTTTAGTGTAAGTTCTTTAATGAGCACCATTTCTAGTCTACTTATTCTACTTTGTACATGCCCTGGGTGAGATGTAATAGGGAAGAGAATGGATAAAGACAGAATGTCCTCAGAGGAGATGGCTGAAGAGAAAAAATACACACTGAGACAACTGGCAACAATATAGTAAAAAGCATTAGATGGCTTTTAAAATCTAATCAAACTCACCAAAAGGCAATTCAAATCTTGTATCAAGCAAAATTTTATGAGGAGTTGGATTTTTAGTTCCACAGATCTCATCATCTTTCATTAATGTCTCTGACTCCAATGTGGACCACTCCCCAGGCCCCTCCTAGGAAACAAAGATCTAAAATTAAACTTTAACCTTTCTTGGCACCCCTCTTAGTTCGAGTCAAGTGTTTTTCTCAGAAGTTCTTATCTGAGCACTTCTGAGGGCCACCCACATGCTGACAAGTCAAACACACCACTGTCACCACCTGCCTCTGTTACATGAAGCTTATGTTCTCCATCTTCAGTGAGGAGAACAGCTTTCACTGTGTTCAGCTCTCCGCATATTCAATGAGGACAGAATTTCTAGAGTACCAAACTCTGAAACTAAGCACCTCTGTAGATCAATATTTAATCTACACAATTCTTAATGACTTTGTCACTTAATGATATATGGTACCATTTCTAATCAGTAAAGAACCACTAAACGTTGCTGATTAAACAGAACTGAACTGGGATACAATGAAAATGAGCTGCCTGATGGAACAGAGACTTAGCCAGAACTAAAAGAAATATAGGAAATAGAAACACAATCTTCAACTTCCCCACTCCCAGAGAAAATTCACAGTCCATATTAAAGCCAAATAGTAATATATTAATAATAGATTTTGTCCAGGCCCAAAGTGAGTATTTAGGGGGAAATGATGCTGAGTTATAATCTAGCCTGATAAAATGGGGTAGTAGTTGAATCCTGAACATTACATATTGAGACATTCTGAATACCAATTGCTAAGGCTAGCAGGTCCTTAAATTCTGTTAGGGTTGGCTCGGCGCCTGTGGTTCAAGCGGCTAAGGCGC